AGTTCTCTGCCTGCCCGTGTGCCCCCCCCCCGAGGCCCCCTGCCCTCCCCAACTCCCTGGGCCTCGCCTGCCTCCCGCGCGGTCCCACCAGCGCCCTTCGGCCCAGAGGCAGAACCTCCCCCACCCGGCCCCACCCGAGAAATGCTCCCTCTTGGCCAGCAGCCCCCCCCCCCCACCCCCACCCGGCAGCCAACAGAAAGCGACAGACGCGCTCGGGTTTCGCTTCCCCCCCCCCGCCCGCCCCCAAGCGGAGCCCAGCGTTTGGGGGAACAAGAGAGGGAAGGCGGCAGGGATCCAAGAGGCTGCGCATCCCCCCCCCACGCACAGCGAAAGCCACTTCGGCCTCCACTACACCCCTGAGCAGGAAAGGTGTGTGGGGAGGTCCCTAGCGACAGGGAGGGCATCTCGGGGCGAGGCCCCCTGACTTACTGGAAAGGCCCCCCACGACCTCCCATCCAGCCCCCAAGCGGCAGCAGGTGCGGGGAAGGAGCCGGGTATATTCCTTTAATTCAATTAGCCAGTGACCCCCCCAAAAAAAAATTAAATGCCCCCCTGGCGCTAAAGACCCTGGCTAGGGGTCGGGGGACCCTCATCTCCAGGGTGGGGGGCCCCCCAAGAACTCCCCAACAAGAGGACTTAGGTGGACTGGGGCGTGGTGGCCCTTTCTGACCCTCACCCCCCCATCTTCTAGAGTGGGAGAAAGATAGGCGCCTCCCTTACAGGGTTGTCGTAAGGACTGCTTGAAGATAAGATACACATGAAGCTCCGTATGAATGCTAAGTGCAGGAGGCGTCAGGAGAAGCCCTGGTCAGGGATGTTTTTAGGCCAATCCTGCACTGAGCAGGGGGTTGGACTAGATGATCTCTACGGCCCTTTGTTGGAATTCCAAGTTGCTTACACTTCAGTCATTACAGAGTTAAATGTTGGTTGTTAGGAAACAGGATGTTACGTTACATAATGTATTCTACAGCGGGAAACTTTGTGGGAGTTATTTATCCTAATGAAGTGAACTTAACCTTTGTATTGGTCAACTAACAACTTGTTTGAGGAAATGCTTTGATCTAGCATTCATGTATTCACAAGGTTTATGGCCCTTTGTGTGAAGCAGAGAGGAAGCTCTCCTCTAGAAGCCAAGACACAGAAAGATGTAGCTGTTAGCATTTAGTACTGAGAGTAACTGCAAGTATGTAACCTTTTATTTTATTTATTTTATCCAAAGTACCTTACCCATTTTTTATTTTGTTTTGTAGTAAAGATATTTTTTCTTTTACTAATGTGGCTCTTGTGTTTGCAATACGACCATCGATCTCAAATCTCAGAATCCCTACACCCTTCCAACTCTGTGTGCTTCTATGACTCTTCCAGCCCCGGGGGGCCAAACCAGGATCCAGAAAGCCAGTCAAAAACACCACATCCCAAACAAAAACCTCAGCTCAGTTGACATGGGAAAAAGACTTAAAAACTCAAATAGATGATAAAACATGGACTAAGATTTGGAATTCATTTCAAATGACAACGAATAATTTATACGTATACAATCTTTTAAAACATATTCCCGGTGGTACTTAACACCTGAACGACTTTATCACTGTAAACATAAATCCTCCCCTCTATGATGGAAGGGATGTGGAAAGAAAGGAACAATTTTACATTGTTGGTGGGAGTGCCCCTTAGTACAATGTTATTGGTCAAAATTAGAGACGTAATACAAAAAATTACAGGACAAAACTTACCGTTTACCCCAGATGTTTTTCTTTTGGGTAATTATTTGAATTATTTGATATCTAGAGAAAGAGAAGAACTGACAGCTATTTTATTATCTGTGGCTAAAACCCTATTGGCTCAAGTATGGAATCAACCCAAAATCCCTTCTATTAAACAGTGGATTGCTAAATGCTGGGATTATTTAGTATCAGACAAAATTACTGAACAAATCCTTTCAGCGAGCTTTCCATCACGGTCTAATAAATTTTTAACAAGATGGTTTTCTTTTTTTTTTTGACTATGTTACAAATAATCCAGATTCAATATTTGTACTTCCTACAAAATATTTAGAGTTTTCTTTTTATTAAAGGGCTCAATAATGAAGACTGACAAACGTGAAAGTATTGTTGCATTCTAAAGTGCTGATTGTTGGAGTTGTTCTTTGTATATGTTGTTTGACCTGTTTATCTTGAAAAGTTAATAAAAATGTTTATTAAAAAAAAACAAAAACACCACATCCTTGCGAAGGAAAGGCAGGTGGAGGGAACTCTTCTGCCTGCTGAGCTCAGGAGCCAGCCTGCTTTGCTTCTCGAGTGCCCGTCATCGGAAGGGTGAGGTTCTGGCACCGCCGGGCATCCGGCCTCTCCCTGCCTTTGAGCCAAGCCTTGCGAGAGGCACAGCTCTGGCCTGCAAGGGATCCCGGACTGTGCCTCAGAGGGGCTAGAAGATGCAGGACATCTCTTCACCTCAGGCTCTAAAAGAGACTCTGGGTGCGAAAGGACCGGGCAGTGAGTCTCTCTCTCTCTCTCTCTCTCTCTCTCTCTCTCTCTCTCTCACACACACACACACACACACACACACACACACACACACACACACACACATCAACATGGGTCACCGTCTTAGTCTGTCTGCCACAGCAGAAAAGAGCAGGAGTCCAGGAGCACCTTAAAGACTAACAAAATATGTGGCAGGGGAGGAACTTTCGGGAGCCACTGCTCACTTCTTCAGATACCGCTAGAATGGGAGTCCGTCTGTCTTTATACCTTGGAAAGGGAAGGGACATTAGAAACCACAACATTCAAAAACCAGTGGAGGAACATTCAGTCACTACTGACTCACTGTTCTCCTACCAAGGAATTTAAAAGGGAGATTAGAAAGAGAGACTGCTGAATTGCAACTGATGATAAAGCTCAAGACAATGCATCCTCCTGGACTGAATCGAGACCTTGGCTTCCTGTCTCATTACCAACGCTGGTTTCTCCACACTGACTTTTTGTTGTTGTTGTTCAGTCGCACAGTGAAGTCTGACTCTAAGCAACCCCACGGACCACATCACGCCAGGCCCTCCCGTCTTCCGTCGTGCTCCGGAGCTTGCTTAATTTCATGTTCGTTGCCTCGATAACATGACTGACTACCCCACTGACTACCCCTCTACATATCATACCTCATCCAGTCACGCCTGCTACTCTCACTCACCTGCTATTGTTTTTTGGCATCTGAAATCGCTCCACTCTCCAAGATATAAGGACAGAAGGACTCACATTTGTATCTGAAGCGTGTGTGCTCGTGCACATGAAAGCTTACACCTTGAGTAAAACTTTATTGGTCTTAAAGGTGCCACTGGACTCAAACTTTGTTTCACATTCAAACTGGATGTGTCTGTGAAGAAGTGAGCCGTGACTCCAAAGAGCTCCTACCCTGCCACATTTTTTTTTAGTCTTTAAGGTGTTCCTGGACTCCTGCTGTGTTCTACTGATGTGCACACAGAGGCAGTCCCTGGCCTGCAGCCGTAGACTCCTGAGAGAGAGCCACACTGTGCAACTGCCATCCTTCCTCTGCCCACCAGGGGGCAGCCCTTCTCCACACACGGACCCATTCAGAGGGGATTTCCTCCAAAGCAGAGGACAGCAGAGCCTTAAACTGCAATGGGAAATGGGGCTCTGCTCCTGACCCTGGTGTTAAAAGGTCTCCTGGACTGTGTTCCCTCTAAGCTGAGTTTCTGTGAGCCAGCTCAGTTTTTTAGCCTCCAGCTCACACATTTCTGCCTCAGCTCAGGAAGGAGGGCTCCAGAGCAAACTAATTCATGAGGTAGCCAAATTGCTTGCTCACAACTTTAATGCCAGTAGCTCACAAAGCAGAATTTTTGCTCCCAAGACTCAACAGTTTAGAGGGAGCATTGCTCCCGGACGGAGCGATCTCCTCCGCCTGCCCCTTCTGCTGATTAGGAGGGCTGTGTTGCTCCGAAGCTTGTGTATTTGGACAGCAACAGAAGAGACCCACAGAGAACTTTCTCACCTCGCCTGTCCCCCTCAGGGTCCCAAATGAAGAAGAAGAGTCAGTTTTATACCCCGCTTTTCAGCACCCGAAGGAATCTTGGAGCAACTTACAATCACCTTCTGCCCCCCACAACAGTGATAAAATATTTATTTTTAAAAAAGAAATGTTCACACATAAAAATGTTCACAAGCATACTTTTAGCACAGAACCAGACTGAGCAAGGGATTCAAAAGAAATGGGTAAAACACAATTCCTCTGTCCCTCTCTCTATTCATTCCCTAACAGATGTTAAAATGTAGAACAGCCTCCGTAGGTTAGGAAGTTACAAATCTCTACTGAGTACCCTTTACCTTGAAGATCACGCCAGCTCTTCAGGCCACTGCATGATCAATGCCCGACTTCCCCAGACCCCAGTTAAGAACTCTGACTGCTCTGACCCAGCACAAAAGAGACCCTCTTCCTTGCAGCAAGGAGGTATTATTTTTATCATGTCTGTTTCTCCACCCACTGACCAGCTCAGGCCAGAAATTTCATTCCGGGAACCTCTGTTGTATCTGATCCCTCCTCCTTTCAAAATACCTTTCATCAAACAGACCTGCAGGCGTCCCCGTATTGTACTAGCTGTTCACTGTAGTCAGGAGTCGCTCCCCTCTGCAGGACACGCTC